AGAGAGAGAGAGAGAGAGAGAGAGAGAGAGAGAGAGAGAGAAAGTAAAAAGATATTGAAGTTGAACGAAAGGCGAAACGATCGATGGAGAGAGGACCAGGGGCTAGATACCGATCAGAAGATACTAGAGAGCACTAGTCGTCGCGCTTTCCACGTTCATCCTTGGTTCTCCGATGATCACAACCTCGACAGCTACCTAATATCTTCTAGGACTAAGCCTATCCCTAATAAGTAAGACTTCGTAACCACTCGCTCGCTGACTAGAGCTCATAGAGGATGTGATAGACGAAGAACGTGGCAGATTGCGCCACCGAGCGGATGAATGATGAATTTTCACCCACAGAGTGTTGATTTTGTCAATAGAAGGCTGGCCTTTCTTTGAGTTTATGTTAAAAATGATTAACGTAAGTAACACGTGATACGTCGAAGCTTTTCTTTTTTTTTTTTTTTTTTTTTTTTGGTTGTTTCTTTCTCGCGTTCATACATGCACACAGAGACACGTGACCACACACGCGCATACGAACCACACCTACACACATTTTCACCTACAAACACGAGACACGCGATCGTTTTTTAACCAAAGAGTATTGTTAGTCACTTGGTCGTTCGTGAAGCGAACTTTTCTTCTGCATAAAATCGTGAACAAAGAGCGAGAAATCATCGCGCGTCTTGGCTTCTAGCGATGGTAGATTTACTTAGGGGATTTAAACGAGGTGGGAGAATTAAATTAGTTAGGATTTTGCAGCTCGATGTGTTTACGGAAACCAAGACTAAGAATCGAAAAAAGAGAAAAAAAATAGGAAAAAATGAAAAATTAAAAGAAAAAAAAAATCGAGACAAAATGAAATAAAACGAAGTACTCTGTCGCTTGGATGTCTGTGAATCGCTCAAACTCAAGGATCCACGCTCGAGCTCAAATGATCGAATGGATCGTCTCGTTGGTCGAGCGTCGATCCTCTTCGCTCTCTTTCTCGAAGCATCGCGATCCATCATCGAAATTCAACCAGAACGTATACACACAGATATATGTGTATATATATATATATATCCACCATATATAAAATCCTTTTCGAGCCTTGCGTTTTCTACGATGCATTTATTTTTTCTTTTTGTTTTCCTTTTTGATATATATCTGACTGAATAACAAGAAAAAGAAGAAGAAGAAGAAGAAGAAAAATGTTACTGAATCGATGAACCGACGAGGAAAGTGATCGTGAGCAACGTTTTCGATTTCGCAGCGAGCGTCGAGCTGATCGAGAAAGAGGCGAAACACTCGTATCTGTGTCCGTAGGCAGTGAATCTAGTGAGTGTTTTTGGTGCTGGCCACCAAGCTTAGATCATTAAGAAATAATTTACGTAAGGCTACGAGTACACGACTAGATATTAAGCTGAGGAATTAACCTATTAAACGAGAAGAATGAAAATTCGAGAAAAAAAGCCAAAAAAAGAAATATGCGAATCTTCTTTAGAGCGTAAGCGAAAATCAGGTAATTAATGATAATTAAACGTTTAATCGCGAAATGAGGACGATGAGAATTAAGAGAAGAGATAAACTGTTCCATTTTTCGAGATCTGTCGAAGTTCCGCTCGATTTTGAGAATTAAAAAGAAGAAAAAAAAGAAGAAGAAGAAAGAACGCGAAAAGATCGAGAGATCCGAGCGCGAACGACCGATCGAACGACGGAAAAAAACAAACAGAAAAAAATAAATAAAAAAAATTTAAAAAAAAAACAAAATTAACGAAACATACCTATACACGTATGTATGACTTCTTTTCTGTCGATTTTCACTTTTCTCCGTTTGTCTTGTGACCTTGACATAATGTATAAATATATAGATTTAATTCCGTGGTTTTCTTTAGAATTGTTTTACTTGTATCTTTCTTTTTTTCTTTTTTTCCCCAATGAGTTCGTTGAACCGGATTCACGATATTACCGTATAGTAAGCTTCCTCTCGTGACTAACGACGAATAGTTTCTCTTTTCCTTTTTTCTTTTTTTGAACATCGAACGATATGTGTGCTTTTTATTGTATATTTGACAATTATTATTGACCGATCCGCAATGGTGATGACGATGACGAGATTGTGTCACGATGATTGAGACGCTGATTGATCGTGAGAGACGAAAACAGTGGTAACGATGAAAAATGAATTAAAAAAGAAAAAAAAGAAAAATGGTAAAAAAAAAAAAAACAGAAGACGAAATCTGATGAAATGAGAACTGAATACAACGTGTTTGATTGCTGGACAGTTAAATGAACATGTATTAATATCGTGTAACCCTCGTACGAGATATATGTGTAATAAAACATATTTATTGTCGGAATTTGTTGTTATCACCTCCTTTTATCAGTCTCCCCCTTCCCTTGTTAAACAGAAAGGATTTATCACAGCAGATAAACTTGGAATCGAGATTGTTGAGGAAAATTGGAGAATAGTTAGATTTCGACTGATATAATAACCAAATGATACTAACAATAAGCGAGCTTGATGAATAAATGAGGACGGACAGGGGTGCAAATAAAACCAGCCACCTCTCGCTTAATTATTTGTAAATATATTATTAAGTAACATCTATAATATAGTAATGAAAAACCATTTACATTAATAAGTGTCGTCGTAATAGTTGATGTACGTGTGTGTCAGTGTGTCGGTGTATCATTCCAGCATCCTCCACTCATCGATCCAACAGCGAGACGCCATTGGTCGCGCGGCAAAGCGCGACATTTCAAAACGTCGGGGAACTCTCGTTCTCGAGAATACGAGGCGCGCAAAAAAACTCTCTCTCATCTCCTCTCTCGCTCTCCTCTCTAGTTACGCGTTAGTTCAGTTGAGGGTGAGGATCCACCACTTTTCCCACGCCTAACCCCAACCTGGTTCGAGACGAAGCTGATATCTCTGTGTCTGTTTCATTTTTTTTTTTCGCGTTTTCTTTTTTTTTTTTTTCCTTTTTCATCATTTTCGTTCGGTAAAAAAATGTATCAGGCATCCTTTACACGTGGTTATCCTTAATCTAGCGTGGTTAGTACGGGTATATCGAGATGGTTGCAGCCTCGATCGAGATCTCAAAAAATACAGCTCTCTTTGCACAAACTTTTTATTCCAATGAATTTCACGTTTCTTTTTTCTTTCTTTTTTTTTTTTCCTCTAAGCTTCGAAGGAATTTCGTCGATTTCACTCCCCCCCCCCCCGCCCGTGTATTTCAGTTTTCAGGTTAGATCTCGAATTATTTCTTTTGAAGCTGACTGCGAAGATCGACGAAACAGTAGGCTTAGAGGGATTTAAAATAAAGTTCATTTGACTTCGAGTAGAGAGATGTTCATTAGTCACTGATTATAGTCGCTATGACGATTATAGTAGTCACCACACTGTACTATAGTAGTCACGATAATCACTATAGCACAATATAGTTGATATTGCATCGATAATCATCGATACTACACTATCGTTGCAGTATTATATTTTATAATAGAATTATATTTATCTGAATCCACGATGATCGTTCCCGCATCACTCATTTCTCAAGTTAGAGAACCAAATATTGACGAAAAAATTCAGATAAATATACTACTCTGTATTGATACTACTCTGAACCATAATATTGTTCTATAGTGATCAAAGTAGTCACTACAGCGTATTGTAATGATTATAGCAGCTACTACATTGTGTTTTCCTGTATCGTAATAATTTGTAGTAGTCATTATACTTTGCCATGAGTGATTGTAGTAGCCATTATATTGTATCGCAGCTACTGTACTGAGTTTTACGATATTGCAGCAGCTACTATAACGTGTTACAGCGAGTATGGCAACTATTACAGTACGCTTCGTAATGTTTCAGTGATTGCAGCAGCCATTGCAATATGTGTTGCAGCTATGAAAATAGTCACTATGCTGCACTGCAG